GAAGACTGCTTCCTGAACATAACACCAATACCACAGACACTGAGATCTACAGTTAATAAATGGGACCTCCTGAAACTAAGAAGCTTCTGTAAGGCAAAGGACACAGTCAATAAGATAAAACAGCATTCCACAGAATGAGAAAAGATATTCACCAACTCTACATCTGACAGAGGATTGATTTCCAAAATATACAAAGAAATCAAGAATCTAGATACCCAAAACACCAAATAATCCAATAAAAAGTGGGGTACAGAACTGAATAGAGAATTCTCAATGGTGGAATCTATAATGTCTGAAAGACACTTAACAAAGTGCTTAACAACATTAGCCATCAGGGAAATGCAAATCAAATCACCGCAGAGATACCAGCATACTTCTGTCAGAGTGGCTAACATCAAAATCACCAAAGATAGTGTATGCTGAAGAGGATGTGGAGAAACGAGAACACTCCTCCACTGATGGTGGGAATGCAAACTTGTACAGCCACTTTGAAAATCAGTATGGCGGTTCCTCAGAAAAATGGGAATTAGTGTACCTCAAGACCCAGTAATTCCACTTTTAGGGATATACCCAAAATATTCACATTGATAACAACAAGACATCTGTTCAGCTATATTCATAGCAGCATTATTTGTAATACCCAGAACCTGGAAGCTGCCTAGATGCTCCTCAACTGAAGAATGGATGGAGAAAATGTGTTACATTTGCACAATGCAGAACTACTCAGTGGAAAAACTGTTTACATTTACTTACTTAAAAATTAGTTGTTTGTGACTTTAGTGGTAATAGTGGGGATAGGAAGAGTAATATTGCATTGAAATTTTATTTACATTAACTCAAATAATTTGAAAATACATAATAAATATAAAGTTGAAACTACTAAAATGAATAAAAACATAAGCATGTATATCTTTGTATTGTCACTCATTGGAAATTACTTTTATGATTGCATCAATTACTACCTACTTGAAAGAATCAAAGTTACTGTGAATTCTGTTGTAAAAATAATTCTGGTTATACATATTTTATTGTATAACACATACTTTCTAGACTTCAACAATAATATCATAGAATATTACTGTCCTTCACATTCAAATCTTCCCCTAAATTTAAGATATCCTATTTTTTAAAAGTTATACTGATATTACTATAAATTGAGAGTGTCTTCTCTGGCTTTTAATTAAGCATTGTTTGCTTAGATATCAATAAACAATTAGGAGATATAATTGTAAGAAATAGCTATGATGTGTGCTAAACTAATGCTGTGATCGAGTGCACCATGGTTATTGAACAGTGCAGTGCATATCAAACTTCAATATGTATTGAATAAACTTGGAAGGTTTTCTTGCTAAAATGTATTTGCTTGTTTTATTTCTGAATGTATATATCTTTACATGAGTATTGCATTTTTACCCTTTCCCTCTTGGGTACTCGGTGCCTCCAGCTTCCATTCCTGACTCTCTATTCCTTCTCATCCTTATGACCTCTTTTATTATTATCATTATATATGCATTATATATGTGTGTGTATATATGTGTGTGTGTGTGTGTGTGTGTGTGTGAATACATCTTACCGAGTCCATATAGTGTTTCTTTATTCCTCTTCGGTTATTATCATTATATATACATTATATATGTGCATATGTGTGTGTGCATGTGTGTATGTGTGTGTAAATGCATCTTACCGATTCCATATAGTGTTTCTTAAATGTATATGTGTTTAGAGGTGATCACTTGGGATTGGATTACCTATCAGGAAGCTCATCCCCAGAGAAGACTGATTTTCCCTTTCTCAGCAGGCATTGATTTCCTGTAAATTTTCATCTAGGGGTGGGGCCTTGTGAGATGTCCCATATTCATGGTAGTCACCTGATGTTATAATTAGCTGACATGATTGTTAGCATTGAATGGGTGTAACTCCCTGTCACATACAGATGAAACCATCTCCTTGTAGATGCTGTGGTCTTTGGGCACTATAATCTAAAAGACACTATCTTCTACATTTCCTGGTCTTCTTGTTCCTACAGTCTTTCTGAGCCTTCTGTCATGATGGCACTCACACCTTATGTGCAAAAGTTATATTGTTGAAGTATCAGCTTGGGATGACCATCCCACAGTCAGCTGCTCTCTGCGTTTTGGGCAATTTTGATTTCTCCAGTGGGCTACAACTGCTGCTCAAAGAACATTCTTTCATGGGGACTGAGAACTACATTTATCTGTGGGTACCAAAATGGATATTATAATACAGTCGCAATCACACTACTTTAGGAATGTGGTGGTTGTTGGTTCTCCTCCAGGGTCCTTTGCCTCACCTGCCATGCAAAGCTGGCTAGGTTTACAGAGCTCTGCATGAATTTGCTCTTATTGAATGGGTCTCAAGTTGTATCTGATGATTACCCTTGAGACATAAGTACTAGTATTGCACCCTTATACAGAACATAAAGACAGTCACTATTATTTGTGGATTCTAGCTCTAAATCTTTTCATGAATATAAGATCTGTAGTCACCGCAGAAGCCAAGAAGGCAAAAAGAACCAGGATAGAGGTAGTGGAGCTGTATGTAGCAAAGGGAATAGTTAGACCCAGGTGCTGTGAAGACAGAAATGGGAAAAGGTGGGTGGTACCTCATCTAGCAAAGGGGGTAGGTTCTGCAGGGAAACTGAGGGAGAGGAAAGATGGAGAGATAAAAACCACCAAGGATAACTGGGGAAATGCATAGAGAAATGTATTTTATTTTAACTAAAAATACACATAATATATATGTACACATATTCACATATTTAAATAATTTAAATTAAGTTGTGTTATTTGAAGTGATAATGTTCTGTCCAAGAGCCATAGACTATTTAACACAAATTCTGGTGCTAAGCATGACAAACCTCGTTTGAGTTGTTGGTCAGGGGAATTAAGAGATGCCCTAAACAACATAGGCTACTGCCACCATTCTTTGTTGCTCCCCAGACTGGAAAGGAAAACACAATTGCTGGAGACAAAACCAATTTAAGACATAACACTCAGAGAAATTGAACTGAAACTGACTCGGGACGCCCACAGCCCTGCCACGCACAGCTAGTTCTGATAACACCCGAGGGTCCTTAAAGGGGGGGGGGGATTAAATTTCCTCCTCAGCTGCAAAGCTGACAAAGCACAAGATCAAAGAAGTTTAATTTATATGCCTTCCTTCAAATATCTTACTATTGCTGGAGAAGTACTGACTTACAGACATTTTCCTTCAGTTAAACATTTCACATGTTCCCTTTACATTGTTACTTAACCCTTAACCCTATATAGTGAGTCCACTTATTTCATGGGGGGGGGTGTGCAAAACGGAGTAATATATGGATAACTGTTTTCTCACCTGTGACTGTTCTTAGACTTTTAGACTCAACCAATGTTATTGAAACTGGATATGTGAGATCATCAAATCAGGGCTGTAAACAGTCCATCTGATATCTACCCTTTACTGGTGAGATTCCACCATTAGGACTTCCTCCTATATACCCTGACCAGTGGTTAGCGACACTGGTCGCTACATACAGATGCATAGCCATATGCCTGTATCAAGACGTAGTATATCAAGATCGAGCACAAACGCTGTTATGGGATAACTTTGCAAACTAAGTGGTCCTTAGTTTCTGAATGACAAACTCTGGGGTCCATCTCAAAAGTTTCTGACGAAACTTCATAGGGCAGTTTCCTATGAAACAATGTTGTAAAATGTATAAGATTACCCTCCTGCTATAGTAAGCTGTGGTGTCTTATTTAACCATAATTCACTTATTTAATGGTACTTTCTATAAGATTCCTTAAGCAATTCTTTCAGAGAAAAAGATCTCCATGTTTTATATGCATAAAATTATGTTACATTCAAGAGTTTTATGAGACTGTGGTTGTGTTATAATTGCCTAAATTGTCTTACAATTTAAATGTTACAACCCCCACATTTTAAAGATACTAATGTTTTCCTTTAAATCAAGTAAAAATAATTATGAGAATGGTACATACATTTCTGAGCATTTCACTTTCTACTTGTACATGGAACTTTTCCCCCTTTTTTACTTTAAATTCATATTTTAAACAATTCAATAAAAGAGAAGCCTTGGGCACTGCAGAATAGCTTCTGTATTTATCACATTGAAAGTGATTAGAAAGTCAAAATCAACATGGAACATGAAATTGATTCATTAATAATTTAATGTATTCCTCAAAAGTATATTTTATTAAAACTATAGAAGTATGGAACAGAATGACCTAAAACCTGACAGTACAGACTACCTGACCCTCCACAGAAGTTTGCTAATCCCTGCACTATCTGCTCAGCCTTTAATAATTGTATCTGTATTCAGTAAGAGTTTACAAATCAGCAGGTAACTAATTAAAAGTCCTAATAAAGCCAGCGGTGGTGGTCTATGCCCTTAATCCCAGCACTTGGGAGGCAGAGGCAGTTAGATCTCTGTGAGTTCAAGGCCAGCCTGGTCTACAGAGAGAGAGTTCCATACAGAGAAAATTCCAGGACAGTCTCCAAAGCAATACAGAGAAACCCTAAAACCAAAGACAATGAGTGAGTGAGTGAGAGAGAGAGAGAGACAGACAGACAGAGAGACAGAGAGAGACAGAGAAGTTCTAATAAAAGGTTAAAAATCTTTGAATTCTTCATCTGACAGAAAGGTTAAAATTAGTGGATGTCGAAATCAAATTGTGGGCGCGTGCTCTCTTCTTGACTTTATATACAAAGTTAACTCTGCACAAGATTTCCTAAACACTCTAATTTTATTAAAGAATGGAATCACAATAAAAATTCTATAATTTAAATGAGTCATCAATTAGTATCTTTATCATGAGCAATAAATAAAACTGCCATAGAAGTTAAGTAAAGAAGAATAGCTGAAGTCTATATTGTCTGACTTTTATTTTTAAAATGTATCTGCATCTATGATATTGAATGATAACAATTCATAAGCATTACATGACTGAAATCTCTAATTTTTTAATGTTTCATAGGCAAAGATGCAAAGGCCAAAGCCCATTGAGTGAATTGATTAATTAATTAATTAGTATTAAATGCATGTTTTATATTATATATATATATTAGAGCCCATTTTAAATATTTTGTTGAGAGCTGATTGCTTAATTGTTTTGTCTAGACACTGTGCATATAATCCAACTATATTACTTACACTATGCTATGCTATTCCTTTATTCCTATTTTCTTTGTTCACTGGAAACATACCCTTCCTTGATACTGTCATCAAAAGTTTTAGCTTGTATTTTTATGTTTTTCTCAAAAGAATTCTTGTTGATAGGTCTTTGTGGTTGTTTCCTTTTCTTTGCCATAACTACAAGGAAAATAGAGCTGATTAAAATGTAATTGATACTATATAAATGATGCACATGTGCAGAAAATTATTGGTAGCATTGTGTAATCATTATCACTTACATTTTTAGAACCACAAGTAAAAAAAGAAGAGAAGTCAGGTATGTATTTTAGTGTAAAGAATTATGTGTGATTTCCATATTTATAATGAATAGCATATCTTTTTGAAATATTATGGGAAGCAAGATATTCATATGTAAATAAGATCCTAGTCAATTGTGGTCTATGTCTAATCCTTTGCTCCTGACCCTTTTTCCTTCTACCATTTCTCAGTCTCTCAAACACTTGCTATCCTACTGAAATCAATCAATCAATCAATCAATCAATCAATCAATCAAACAGGAAGGCTTTATAGACAAGTTTGCTATGCTGCTGATTTTAAAAAGAACCTGCCTTTCTAACATTGTTACAGTCCTGGGGTGTCCATTCATACATCAAAATTGTATTTTAAGAATTACAAAGACATAATATTTATTCATTGAGAGAAAAATAAAACAATAAAGCCTTTGTTTCTAGAAAAAAAGTTTTGTATATATACAAACACGACAAGAAATTTCTATGGTTCAAACAAAGCAACCGACCCAATTCCTTGAATCTTACTAACCCACAACTTTTCTCTAAATTTCAGAAGCACTGACTTCCTATCAGATAAATACCTATCTTTATACTTCTCTTTCCAGCCTCCTGGGTTAGATCAACAATTCCATAACTGGTTGTATGCAGCAGAAACGTTTTCAAAAGAACACGCAACATCTGTTTGTGAAATAGTTAAAACTTTGATTTATGGCTGCTGAATACATTTGTGCTATAGATGTGAGGTCAATAAGATACCACAAACTGGAAGGCTTTTAAAATGTATGTTTATTCCTTCAATTATTGGAGACTACAAATTCAAAATCAATGACTTGGTTGAGCCATGTTTTGGGGTTTATTTTAGATACACAGAGAAGAGTCCATCCTTGCCTTTTCTGACTGTTCATGCTTACCAGCATTCTTGCTGTGTACCTTTCTTGCACAAAGCTTACTGTAGCATTGGTCTCCATGGCTACATGGACATCTTTTCCATGAATGTTTTTGTCTCAGTAGCTTTCTTTTTAAGACCTCTAGTCACAGTGGCTGAAGAACCTACCTACATGCCTATTGTTACATCCTTACCAATTACATCTGTAAGAATCATATTTCCAAACTGGATAGCATTCTGAGAACCTGCAGCTAAGGACTTGGACATAGTTTTTGAAGTACATACTTTATTCCACTCAAGTCCATCCTTTATCTCATCACTGTTGCTCCTGACAGCAACGTGCATTTTCCCAAAAATATGTTGGACACTGTTGTTGCTCCTGCTGGAGTCCATTCTTGCCTCAGCTAATGGCCTCTTGGGCAAAGAACTGCCCCCACCTTGACCAATGATTTGGACATGCAGTCCTATGTGATTGCAGGAGACAAATATAGAAGGCTGCTGAACCTTGCCAAGTCAGGGTAAGACAGCCTTTCTACCTCCATGCTGTTGTTGTGGTCTGTCAAGTACTCTTGGCCTTAGCCAAAATAGGGCATACCAACGTTGCTGTGAGACCTTGGGTAACTGTCCAGGTAGCCTACTGTTTCTGTCATCGCTGCACCTTTTGGAAGCTGCCCATTTGCACTTCCTGTCTACCCTAGTATCTTTATTTTCCTTCTCAGGTCTTGATGAGGTTGAGGATTAAACTATCACAACTATTATTCTCTCTTCCTAGTTAGATATATTAGGTACCAGACTTAAGTCTTCCAGCTTAGGACAACTCTATTGTAAACTCTGTTATGCCTTCACCCCAGGACAAGATATGTAGGTAATTTTGTTCTCGATTTTCCTTTTCTTAGAGCACACTTGTTATTCACTGTTTTGTATATAGTTTTGTATCAAGCCTAAATCTTTTCTTTAGACTAAAAGGGGAATTGTAGTGGGATATTCACTTTGTCTCCTTCTGTGGCACTGACCATGCCCATTGGCGGGTGGAGACAGGGGTGGAAATGACCTGTGGAAGGAGGTCTGAGGAGGAGCCGGGGAATGTTCTCTTGCTGGCAGGATGTGGAGAGGAGAGCATCCGGTGGAACTTGCTGGTGTTCATCTGTCTAGGATGTAAGTTGTTTCTCCCTGTATAAACATCTATTCGGCCTATTTGTTTATCTTGATCCTCATTTTACTGCAATAGCATCTACTATTAATCCTACCTGTTAATTTCACTTAACAGTTTCAGATGCTCAAATCATTATCTAGGTGATCTACATCAGCTTTGGGTGGAAAAAATGTGATAAAAATGTTCTCTACCTGTGAGTCCATTATGAATGTTCTCTTTGCAAATACAATGATGAGACAGCCATTAGGTACACATTCTCATTCCAAATGGAAAATGTCAAAGTAAAAATAAGAATATGATGGGTAAACAAATTCTCAGTCCTGGCTAATGTGAAGTCTTGAGAATATTCTCTCTGTTTCTGTTCTCTCCATTCTGGGCTTGATGGGATGGTGGCTATGCTTCATGCCCCAAACCACCCCCCAGAAGAAGAATGGCTCCACCCTCTAAGTTGTTTCTTCATTTTATCTTGTCTCCATCCCTTTAGGAGTGTTGTCTTTTCTTATTTAAAATTCTCAATAGCTTGATTCATCTCACTTTCAATCCATAATGATTGAATAAAGACAGAATCCTCCATTGCCATCTGGACCATTTTTTCTTTCATTTCTATAGAGGTGACTGGTTGGATCAAGCTATCTTATACATAATCTCAAACTTCGGTTCAGCTACAGTTAGCCCTGTCTCTGGGATTGTTATGAACTGGATGAAATTTTCCCAAATCACTGTGGGACTGTTTATTTTTCACTAACGCTTCTAATGTATTTCACATTCTATTACAAGGAAAAAATAGATTTTTCAGTCTACACATTTCTTCAGCATTTTCTTAGAAATATTCTGCTACTATAACTTAAGTTATTTGCTTATAATTATGGCCTTTCAATCTATAGGAAACATAATTCATCTAAGTGAACTCTCTTCTCCAGAGATCAGGATTCATTTCATTCTCTTTCCTCCAACTTCCAATAATTTGTCACATTTTCTAATGAAGAAAAGCAAGAGAGCCTTCTTAAGCATCCCTATTCCAAGCGGCCTCTTGTTTAAATGCATAGTAGTATACATACTTTAGTTTGAACGTGTTCTTTCACAGCCCAGGTGTGACCAATGCAACATGATCAAGAGATGAGCCACAAACTGGTGGTTAGACAGTGATAGCTCCTGTTTCCAGAATGAGATTAAGGCTGTTATAGAAGTAATTCCACATGTATGCTTGCTTTTTATACCTTCTGTCCTGTGGTGACATAGCACTCCTTCTTTGCAAAGGATGTAGCAGCAAGATGCCATCTTAGAACTTGGCATAGCAGGTGCTAGCAATTAGCTGTTGTCTTGAATTTTATTACCTCCAGTACTGTGAAAAGTGAAAACTTTTTCCCATATAAATCATCCACTGGATGTCTTCTTTTATTCCAGAAAAAAAAAGAAGACAGAAATACTGATTTTTGTATGGACCTCTGTAAGGTCCAAGTTGGGAAGTCAGAAAATGAGGAGGGTCAACGAAGGCTAGGAGTATTAACCAGATGTAACATCCTTTATTCACAGGAAAACTGGTAGATCCTAAACCATTTAACTCTCTTCAGAACAGTTTTCAGTCTCAGTGTTTATACAAATAGTAATCTCTTCAAGTGAATCCCAGATCCTTTCAAATATTTCAAATATTTTCCAGTATCTCCCTACAGTATACTTCAGTACTTACATTTGTTATAGCGGTATTCCACTGCCTAATACAATCCAAGTATCTGTGAATGGAATAAGGTACTTGAAACCATTTCTTAAAGCAGCAAGTGTGTTCCACCACATCTCTGCAGGTTGAACAACATTCCTTTTCCAAGCTTAGCTGAAATATCTTCCTTGCCTCTTCTAACTTTTAGTGATTACCAGAGATTCATATATTCCTTGGGATTTAAACTCATCACTACAATCTCTTTGTCTTTCTTCTCTCTCTGTCTCATGAGGAACCACTCTACCCTAACAAGATCTCATCTCATCTTAATTAATTACATCTGCATTAACCCAATTTCCAAATAATCCCACTTTTTAGATATTGATGCTGATGACTCAATCTTTCTTTAGGGGATACATCCAAGCCTTAATAGCATATGACTAAATTCCTAAATTAAACAGTTATCAATTAGATCTATTTCAGATAATCTCTTCCAGTTTTGTTGTTGAAATGATTTATCTTATGTTATTTTGGAGCTATTTCTTACTATAATCAGCTTGAAAAGAGAAGACAGTTTAGGTTTAAATCAACTCCTAAGTACCTGTTCACCAGAGGCATATTTTTAAACAACAGTTTAATGACAGACAAGTGTACAGGGAGTTTCTATTTACTGTATTCAATAATCCTTCCTTAACAAAGTGCTATGAATCTAAATTAATCATTAGCAAAATTCTTCACTGTGTATTGAGAAAATCAAATGCAAATTATTTGCAATGACAAATTTGTGCTTTAGTTTATACTCTTAAGATAATTTATTTCTGTTTTTCCCTACATCCAGAGCCACAAGTTAAAAAGGAAGCAAAAGCAGGTAACAGTATTTTAAATAGTGTCAAAATTCATACTTCCCTCAGGCTTAGACTGAAAATATCACTGATCCCCAACAAAATTTCCACAGCCACATAGTTACTTGTCATTTTCTACCTTATATTGTCCAATAATGTGTCATGATACTCTAGTAAAATTAATATTTCTATTTGGCAGGGTATATCTAGAGTATGGCTTTATACAAGTGGTTCTCAATCTTCCAAATGCTACAACCCTCTAATACAGTTCCACATATTGTGGTGTCAAACAGCCTTAAAATTATTTCATTGCTACTTTGTAACTATAATTTACTAGTTATAAATCATAATGTAAACAGCTGGCATGCAAATATCTGATATATGACCTCCCCCAAAAAATGTCACAGCCCACTGGTTGAGGGCCACTACATTTTATATAACTTAGAAATGACTCCAGGATTTAGAATTTATTCTTCTGAGTGTTTTGAAATCAAGTATGATCATGTCACTTTTGTGGCTTAATTTCTGTCACTACTCACCAGAGTCACAAATTCATAAAATCATGGGCTTTTTGAGTATGAGTGGAGCAATGGCTAGAACTCAATAAGACACCTGTTTAGTATGACTGGGCACTGCACAGTTACTTTCATCATTATGGAAGCATGCACCACAGCAAGTGCTATCCTTATATTATAATATTTTCAGAGATGATTCAAAGGGCCAAATTCACATAATTAGTTTTCCAATAATTTCAAGCCAACAAATGTTGAAGCTAAAATTCTGTACAGTATCTAATTTTTTTGCAACCCTCTGAGTATTTCTATTAAGAAATCATCCTAGACTGTGTCATTTTATTAACAGCTAAGGTTAACCTAGAAACAGGATGACATCTTTTAGTTTAAACTGTCATGATTAAGTCCTAGTTGTGGTACCAACTAGTTGCTCACCTGAGGCTAGTTTACAACAGCCCTCAAGCTCTATAGAGGCCAATGTATCATTCTGAAAAATGATGTGGCAAACCCTTTAAATATTAACTAATCTAAGAATCCAAATCTAGATTCATGTACAGCATTGCCAAGCCCATCCTCATTGTAATTTATCTGGCAACCAATCATAATTTGTGTATGGATGCTCTTGTAAATATTATATTTGCATGCATCAGAGCTTATAAGTCTATCTACCTTTTGTGATTTATTTTCTGATTTTTTTTTTTGTTTATTGGAGATGAGTACATTTTACCAGACATTAGCATTAATTTTAAAGTTACACGTATTTCTTTAGAGGTGTGTGTGTGTGTGTGCGCGTGTGTGTGCGTGTGTGTGCGTGCGTGCGTGCGTGCGTGCGTGTGTGTGTGTGTGTGTGTGTGTGTGTGTGTGTGTGTGGGTTCAGAGGATAATTTCTGGGAACTGACCCACTCCTTCCACCTTGTGGGTTCTGGGGAGGAAGCTTGGGTCACCCATCAGGTTTGGTGGCAAGCTCACATACATACCTGTTGAACCAGCATTAAAAATAAAGAGCACGTTAAAGCTAGTTATAAATAATATAACTTAAAACATTACATTTGTAAGGTAATTAATTAACTTCTTCTCCTTTCAGCACCATCTGACAAAGTCCAAATACGCAGTATGTATATCAGTGTCTCCTGCAATTCTCATATATAATCATTTTAAAGATTATTTTCCATTTCCAAAATTGTAAAGTTTAATCTTATGCTTTGCAAAAGCCTATGATATGAAAATTGCAGGTGTAATGTAAATAGAAAGTTTTGTGTTTATGTACTGTTTGTCTAGAACAAATCCTTTGTCTTTTACAGGAAATGGGATAATATAGAAGTTTAAAAACTTCCTATTGGAACAATCATTATTTTCAATTTTATAAATCATTGGCCTAAGTCATAGAGAATATTCCTGTGTACTATACTAGAGAACTTTAAAGTATCTGATATATCTTTTTATTCCTTTCAGAACATGATGATTCCAAACCAGAGCCAATTGTTCCTCATGGCAAACCAGGTATTTCCCAAGCGGTGTTGCTTTATTCAATTGTTGACTATTGTTCTGCCTACATCAAAAGGAAAACTATTGAGTCAGATCTAAAGTCACCTGTGGTAACTCAGGCCTTGAGCCATCAGCTTCTAAAGAGCATTTCCCATCCTAGTCATCATCCGACTCTCAGTTGAACTGAGTGGTTTATTTAACAATGGTCTATTTAACCCTATTTAACAGTAGGGTTAAATAGACAGCCTGACTCCCCTGCCCAGCAAACCTGGGCTTATTGTAAAGAGCATCCCAGTCAGAAACCAGGTAAATGGACTCGACATGTGGACTTGTGTTTTCCCACCTTGGAAGAAGACAATTTTTTAAAAGTTGTATTTTACATTGCCACCTATCACCTTAGACTTCTCAAGTTCCAAGTATGTTGAAGAGATGCACATTTAATCCTGACTCCTCCGCTCCCTCTTTTCTCTTCCATTCTGGTCCCCTTTCCTTTTTTGCTCTTAAGAAAATAGAAGTGAAACAATGTACTTTGATGATAACAAAGAGGCAGAACTTACAGCTTAGTAGCTATATTTTATTTAAGAATAGAAATTTTGAGTTTTTATTTCAGCACTAATTCAGTACAAAATTGATTTTCAGACTTTTCAGGTCTCAGTATTCTATTCACCCTAGGCTGCCAGAAACACTACCCAGTCCTGTGAAAGCAGTTAAGCCTGATGCTTTGAGAAGTTTAAAACATTTTTCGTTTAAACAAAATTTACGAAATAATTTGCGCATATATATATATATATATATATATATATATATATATATATATATATGGGACTAAAGGTGTGTACCACTACCACCTGGCTAATATATAAAAAAATCCTCATGTGATGGATTTCAGTCAGTTTGATTTTATTCATCTGTAATTTAAAACTATGAGACCCCACAGAGTTTGGCCTCATATGCACATGCCTGTACTTGGTAGCTGGAAACAAGAGAATTGGTAGTTCAGAGGCATCTTCATCTACTTAGCCAGTTTAAATCCAGTCTAATCTATTTGAGACCATTCCCTCCATTACATATATGAATATATACAAGACCAAAATACTGCAACACAAGAGTAGTAAAATGAAGGCAAGACTGTGGAGAGATTGGAATGACAACCATACTGGCAGAAATAAAACAACAAAAATAGAATGTCATAATTAAAGTCTACGATGAAATATCATTTTTAAATATTCTTAAATATATGCTATATATATACTGAAGGTGAAATACAGAGAAAATGGGTTAAATTATTTTCTTGCTACAATTCTAGCTCAAGTATGAAGTTCATATCCTTCAAATTCTTTTATCCAGTGAAACTTTTTTTCATATGATATTTAACTGGCCAGTGCTCTCAAAACCAATGATGCATTTGGAGTTGAATTTTGTATGAATTGTTGAAATAATCACTTTATTTTAAGAAAAACCTTCTTTTAGGGTGTCATATGCACAAGAAAGTTCATAACTGATCTTCCTGTTGTAATAAAGTAATGAGAGAAGCCCATATATCTTATAGCAATACCTCTCTGTGTGTGAGTACTGTCAAATCAGTCAAGAAATAGGGACAGGTTGATATGTACAGAATGGAAGACAATTTAAGTCTGCAAAAATTCACCAAGAGAGCTATGGGGGAGATCTCTATTGGGGCATTTCTCCTTGTACTTACATTCAGCCTAAAAGGACTTGTTTGTTATTTCATTGAAAATCCAACTTTTAAATTTTGTTATCTAAACAAACAGAAATATGAGGATTCAATGCATGATGGTTTTCTAATGCTTGGTTGGAAATTTCTGCTTGTATTAATATTTTCTCCTATCACAGAACAAAAAGTTCTCAAGCAGGTCAAAGCTATTACAGCAGAAAAGACAGGTAAAGAGATTCCCTTATAATCTTCTATTCTAGATCAATTTTGTATGTATAGATATGCATAAGTATGCATTAAGTGAGTACAATGTTTATTTTTAATTTAAGTTAAAATATAATCACATCATTCCCTCTTTCCCTGTCCTTCCTCTTACCTATTCTATACCCCCACCATTCATATATTTGTGACCTTTTTTCTTTGGTTACTGTTGTTACACACATATATACATGTGCATAAATAGATCAGTACAACCTTCTGGTTCCATTAAATGTTGCTTATATAGGGATGATGACTTGAAATTGGATAACTAATGGGGTTTCATCACTGACAGAGACTAATTCTCCTTCTGCCAACATCCATTAGTTGCTAGTTATTCCTAGTGTAGGGGTGGAAATCCCAGAGACCCCCCCATGAAATGTTAGCAAGTCTAATGTTTGCCCTTTTCAGGTCTTGTTTAGTAGAAATCTTCATGGGTGAATCATAAATATTTTTAAAGCCTAAATAGTAAAAGTCTGAATTATTCTGAATAATTTCACAATAATCAATTTTCATTGGGGGTAGTAGTAACTAAAATGGCTTAATGTCATTTTTTTTAGAATGTGACTAGTAAAATTATATATAACTTATTAGGAAATCCATTTAAAATATATATTAATTATCATGTATTCTAATTTGGTCTTTAATTATATTTCAAATCACATTTTCTCAAATCTTCAAATTATGGAAATCTAAATCAGTGGATTACAAAGTATACATGTTTAGTATACAAGCAGATGACCTGAACTTAATTCCCCAATGACATAAGAGGAGAGAATTGTCTTCCAAACGTTGTCCTCTTATCGCCACGATGCACTCACCTGCTCACTATCTACCATCTATCAATCATCTGTGTATCAGCAATCTATCATCTGTCTATTTACCTATATCATGCACCTACTATCATCTGCTGTCTGTCTGTCTGTCTGTCTATCTACTATCTATCTTCATATCTATCTCTCTGTCTCTGTGTATGTGCCTGTGTGGGAAAGAGATTCTGTGTGTGCATGTGTAAGTGAGATACACAGAGAAACAAGAACAGGTACATGCAACACTAATAAATAGCATTTTAAAATATAACAAAATCCCAGAACTCGGTGCACAATGAACTCTTGTGCTTCCTTTCATTCCCCAGACAGTTGGGCAGTTTTATATATTTAGAGGTCTTTCCTAAGGACTGATCAACAGAGCATGTTCCCATTATTTCAGGTGTGGAGAAAGGACTCACACTCTCTTCTGTTTTGAAGACTTTCTCAAGAAGACAAACTAAGCTTTTGAGTTATTCTGAGGTGATGTCTTCAACCTGCTTCTCACTTTTCTTTGAATCCTAGAAGAAATCTCAACCCTTTGACTATTCAGTGAACCACATTTCATTCCACATAATTGTTCTAAAACAAGTCATCTATGAAGTATCCTTTCCTTGAAGTGAAAGGTTAAGTTAGGAAGGATTCAAATATTTCGTGGAAGAAAACAGAACTCAAGGGAAAAGAACTCATAAAAATTATAGGCTGTCCTGAGACTACTTAACTTCATTAAATATGGCCATTCTTCTGTATCTTCTTACCATTGAGTAAATTTAAAACACCAGTAATCTTCCTTTTGTTTTCATAGTGCAATGTTAAGCCTGGAGTATCTCCATCTATTTTATTTAAGGATATAAAAAACTAATTTGACATATTTGTATTCCAAATACACAGATTATAATTAATGTTGTGAGCATTTCATATATTTAGCCAGTTTTCACTAAGTAATATGAAAAATTATATTTACCATTTTTAACATAATAGTGCCCAGAAATAACAGGTTTGCTTTAAGCTGAAAAAACAGTGTAAGCTAAGAACAAATATACATGGGTATGAATGAAATATTTTTCTTGTGGCTAGTACTCATCAGTATGCTGTCTACTTCACTTAGTTCTCCAAAGTGAAGCCATAAACCAGCCAAAAATAACCTACTAACTTCATTTTGACAATTAGCTTATTTTCGTTTGTTTTTAGTGTAGATTATAACTAAATTTCTGTATAAGTGATAAATTAATGTTGTTTTATGTCTTTGATTTAAATTTCTTGTGGTTCACTATTAGTCAATGATTTATGATATTTGTATGGAATAAATGCCTGGAAGGTCTATAAGTATTATTAATAATAAAAAAGTAAGTCCATACAGGTAATAAAACACTGAAACAAGAAGTAGGTTAAAAAAAAAGTCATGCAAATTTACATAGTGAATAGCAAGGAAACATTAAAAGGATAATTTTGTTACTAACTATATTTATGAATTTTTATATTTTAAGCTTATTACTGATTAGCATTTAGAAAACCACAAATTTACAAGCATTTTGCCACTTATTGACTAAAACAGCAAAATTTCTTTGAGCGGACCTTCGGAGATCATATCCTTATACACAGATTACAATGATGGATATTTTAAGAGATGCTGTTGGAATTCAGGAGGTTGTGAACATTTATTCATTTTCACACAGTGGTAAATAAGTCTAACACTGTGTCACAATTATTCAGGGAGATGCCTTTGTAGAACACAATCTAAGATTAAATCATGGCATGTTTAACCACTGAGTAAAAATGAAATAACAAGATCTAAAAACAAATGTGACAGAGAAGGTAGGATGCTATGTTGGTGGCCTAGGAGGTAGGTGTGTGTGTGTGTGTGTGTGTGTGTATGTGTGTGTTGTCATTGTCTGCCACTTTATTTTACTCTTTTATATCGGAATATTGGCTTCTATATATTCCTTTCTATGAATGTTGAACATTTAGGTTTATGGGACTCTATTCTTGAAAGGCATCAAATTTAGGTTATAATTTATTTTCATGTGGAGTAGGTTCTCACATATTTCTATCTTCTTCCCTGGCTGGTACATGATGTTGGAGAAAAATAGCAGTAATTAAAGAGAATTTCTAAGGTCAAGAGTGAAGGAAAGGAAAAACACATACATATTGGGAACACCCCAAGAATAACTCTGGAGGTCATTAGTGTGGCCTGCTATAGTTTTTGCTGATGTTCCAAATATTCTCACTTCCCTTTAAGATATTGCACCATGTAGGACTTTGACATTCTGTGTTTGGTGGAAGCAGTACCTACTCTGAATATTTTCACAGGGTTTAGAAAGGTGTCTGTTGCTCACAAATTTTGCTTCCATTTGCTACATCCTGGATCCAGTTGAGATTAAGCAGTGATATTTCTGGCTTGATCTGAAAGACAGGGTAATGAGGAGGGGTATGAAGTGTAGTACACCCCAGAGTAAGGCATTTTAACAAGGCAAGAGTCCATGTCCAGAATGAAATTCTTTCTGATATGGAAAGAAAGTTGAAGACAGAAACATCAGAGAAGGAGTAAAAGATTGACTGAGGTAAAAGTCTGGTAGATGCTACAAGAAATGGCAACCTTCACGAACAAAGCAGTTTATTCAGATTGTTGCTTCTCCTTCCTTTCAAGCCACAGGCCATCAAGAGACTGAATATCAGCATAGGACTGGCCCAACCCCCCTGAATGTTAGGAGGATTGGGCAGTCTATGGAGCCTCTGGTAGTGGATCAGTATTTATCTCTAGTATAGGAATGGACTTTGGGAGCCCATTCCACATAGAGGGACACTCTCTCAGCCTAGACACATGGGGGAGGGCCTGGGTCCTGCTCTAAATGATATGACAGACTTTGAAGATTCCTGTGGAAGGTCTCACTCTCCCTGTGGAGCAACAAGGGGGATGGGCTTGATGGAGGTGATAGGGGAAGATAGGAGGGTGAGGGAACTGGGAATGATATGTAAAACAACCTTGTTTCAAACTTAAATTAATAAAAAGGAAGAAAGAGAGAGAGAGAGAGAGAGAGAGACTGAGTACCCTGGCAATGTCCTTCAGGTGCTGAGAGAACACATTTTTAGGGTCTCTTGACAATGAATCTAACCCTGTTTATAATTTATTCTTTGACAGTAGACTTACTATGTTACAAGTTACATAGAAATGGCTTTAGGAATATGCACAAGTGAGGACTGTTTGCCAACATGAAATGTGGCACTCACTGCTCCAAGAATATTCACATCTGTGAATCTTCATTTTCCTCTCTAGAAAAAGCTGAACCCCAAGAAAAAGAGCGCCAGTCTATAAAAACAGGTATTCCTGGCTCTGTGGCCAATGATGTCTTTATTCACCATGGTTATTAAATCTGAACATTAAAAATGAAGTAGGCACTTTTTGTTTTGTTTATGGGTACTGTTTAGTTTGGGGTTTTAGATTATAACCTGTCTCAAATGACAGTAGAGCTATGGTATTGTAACTAATAATAATAATTTAAAAAAGATTATCAAAGCATACTACATAATACAGAGAAGCTAGCAAACTTAATGTGCTCTTATGACTTACAAGTCAACAATTTTTGGTATTTAGTAAGGTAGCTATTATGGCCATTTATCATGTTCATGAACTGGAACATTTTTATATGGTTTAAAGATATTATTTAACATTACATGTTTTAAATTTGATTGTGAAAATTAATAAAAATATTTTCTTGAAATAAATTTATTAAAATCTATAACAATGAGCTTTATTATTTTATAATATTGCTGATTTTCATGATATGAATTACTTCATTTGCCTTATTTGCTGTAACAAAGGACTTCAACTGAGAAAACTATTTCTCATGTTTTCACTCTACATTCAATCACCAATCAAAAATATCCCATATTATAATGAAATATTTGTTTTTTAATAAGGAGAGCTTATACATAAGACTAAACAATATTATAATTAATAATTTTAGAAGGCATGCTGTATTGGAGAAAAAGGAAATGTACTTAAAATGTGTAGATTTTCATCCACTATACATTCAATCTTCCTGTGTTTTTATGTAACTTTTCACTCATAATGTGGCAAATTCAAATTATTAGTGGATATTAATACATTCCCAGAAAGGACAGTGGCAAAACTTTTATTCCATTCCCCTAATAAGTAGGAAGAAATTCATTATTTTAAGTATTCATATCATATCCAATAAAAGCTAATATTTTCTGCTGAAGAGAAAACCAAGAAAATCAACATTCTCAAATAATATACCTATTTTATAGGCACATGTTGGGGAATATTTTTAAAGACTTATAAAATATTTCTCTATTATAATATATTCTTAGTTTTTCCAATTTATAATAGCAAAATAGAAAATATAAAGAGTTAACTATATGTACATAGTGTATATGATATAACATTTTCAGTTTTTATTTTTTTTCCTTTTAGATAAGCCTAAACCATCTCCAAGTAAGTATATCATTTAGAACTTTAAGGATACACATTCCTGCTGACATGAATTCAATCCCCTGGACACAGTTAAAGAACAGAAAAAACTGAATTCACAATGTTGTTCTCTGACCTTCATCTATGTGCTATATAGTACTTGTGCAATTACACACACACACACACACACACACACACACACTAATAATACACAATTTAAAAAAGAATATTCTATTGTGAGATTTTAATTTACAATGTCCGTTAGTGGTAAATTAAATATAAAATAGGTTTATTAATATAAAACTATTATTATTAGTATTACTTATATATCAGACTTTCACTGACAAAAGATAAATGGTATGTTCTATTTATTAACACCAGAGTATATGTGCCTATGGTTATGACTAACTCACTTTATTAGGATAGATTAGGAATGTCCAAAATGTTTTCATTCACCATGCCTATGTAGCTAACACAATTTTTCATGGATAAAGCAAATAGGTATGGAACTGAAGAGATGTTTTGTAGTTAAGAATACTGACTGTTCTTCCAGAGAACCCAGATTCTATTTTCAGCACCCATATGGTAGATCTAAACATCCATAACTCCAGTTCCTGGGAGTACAATGCCCTATTCTGGCCTCCAAGAGCACCAGTCATGCACTCAGTGCACATACACATATGCAAGAAAAACATTTATAAATATAGAATAAAAATTAACAAACCTTTGTAAACTCACAGGTACTTTCATCTCTTTTCCCTCTTCCTTAATTGTTAGGATATATTCAATAAACACAGTGTGAAGATTCATTCAGTGTTAGTGCAAAAGCCACAATGTGAGTCAAGAAAATTAATAATTCAATATTTCTAATACTTTTCCTCAATTATCTTCAACTAATTCTTAGCCTTTTATTTCAATATTTAAATGCTTGGAACATTGGTTTTAATAATTAAAAATTATGCCTTGATGTTTCAAATAATAATCAAATGTCATTGTAAAAAATAAAGTGCTTGCATTTTAAAAACCCAATATTTATTTAGGAATAAATATTTGCAAATTGAATAAAGACTATCTAGAGTTTGATTATTTTTTCTTTAAAAAAGTTTACTTGTTGATAATTTCATACATATGATCATATTCATTCTGAATTTCTTCTCCCCTAATTTCATGTCTTTCTTTTCCTTGAACTCTTCCTCTTTCTCCTCTTCCTTCTCTACCTTCTTTTTTCTCTTGTTTTATTGAAAATGGATTTATTTCATATAATATAATTTCAGTTTCCATTTACCTAACTCCTCTCAGATCTGCCTCACCTCTCCACCCATCCAAATACAAACTCTTCCTCTCTCTCTCTCTCTCTCTCTCCCTCTCTCTCCACCCCTCTCTAAAACCAAAGCAGAAACAGGACAAAACAAAGAAACAAACAAAAAATAAATAGTCAAAAAAAGGGAAAAGAAACACATACAGAATCAAAGAAACAGACATCTGTGTTCCTGACAAAAATCTGATAAAAAACAAAATCGAAAGTATTATATAAAAGCATAATAACTGTAACTTTAAAAATAAAAGTCCAGTCAAAGCATTCCGAGACACAAAAACAAAACCAACCAAACAAACAAACAAAAAAATAACATTGAGTTCATTTTGTCTTGGCCTTCTGTTGCTGGGCATGGAGCCTAACCTTAAGTAGTGTGGTTTGTGTACTCAGTGAGAATTGGTTGGAAAAAAATAAACCAACTTTTTTTTTTTGGTAAGTGGTTATCAGTTAGACATAGCTTCTAGGTTAGGGATGGGAGCCTGTGTCTATTTTCCTTCTCAGTACTGGGACCCCTTCTGGCTCAGACCTGTGCATGATCTCCGCATGCTGTCATACTCTCGAGTTCATATGTGCATAAGTCCTGTTGTATGTAGAGGCCTTTTTATTTTCTCCCATGTCCTTCATTCCCTCTGGATCTTGCAATTTATATACCTCCTCTTCTGTATTATTTCACGAACCTGCAGAGAAGGGAATTGATGGGGACATCCCATTTAGTATTGGTTGTTACAAGGTCTCTCACTGTGTGCACTGTCCAGTTTGTGAGTCTGCATTTGTACCAAGATTCAGGAGGAATCATCTCTAATGATGGCTGAGAAAAAAAAAATGCACTAAGGTATGGCAGAATGTTGTCTTTAGGAGAGCAATAATATTTAGTTTTCCCTCAGACCTATGGCCTATCTAGTCTCAGATTCTTGGAATTCTGAGCAGGGTCGCCATAATTTCCATTTCATGGAGTGGGTATTTAATCCAACCAGATAGCGTTTAGTTACTCCCAAAATTTAAGTACCACTCTTACATCAGTGTGTCTTGCAATCAAGTTGCCATTGTAGGTCAAAGGTGTAATAACAGAGTTCGTGTTTAGTTTTCTCCATTAATAGCATGAAGAGTAACTTCTAGTACCATAAACACTAATTAATAGGGATGAAGACTATAGGTATTCAGCGATTTGACTTCTCCATATTCAGTGAGTTATGCAGGCATTGTTTTCAGCAATATGGCTTTACCAACAGTTTGTAGAGAACAACCCATAACCTTGACAATAGTCTGGGTTGATTGATTGGGGGTGTTCCCTGGGGTGTCTCTGGACAACTCAAACTAGAGGAGGCAGAAGGCTTCATTTCATGTAAAAAAAAAAAAAAAAAAAAAAAAAAAAAAAAAGGTGTTGTGTTAGGGTTTTTCCACATTATGTGGTAGCTACATTTAGATTCCTTTCTTATATGCGTATCTTTAAAGAAGATTCAGCTATAGTAAGTTCCCATATGACCTCAAGTGGTCCTTAGTTTTAACTGTCCCTGCCTATATTTCACCTTCTCCATTTTATTCTTCTGTTCCTAACTCCTTGCCCCATGTATCTACACAACTTACTTCTCCTCAGAAGAGCCTTTTCTGCCCCCTCATGCCACACTCCATATGTAACCCAGTAATTTATTACTAAACAGCTAATATCCATATATAAGAGAATACGCACTATGTTTGTCTTTTGGGTTCTAGGTTACCTCACTCGGAATTTGTTTTAGCTCCATGTGTTTTACCTGAATATATGACTTTTTAAAACAGTTTAGTAATATTCTATTGTGTATAGGTTCCACCTTGCCATTATGTATGCATCTTTTGTTGAACATATCAGCTATTTCTAATTTCTGGCTTTTTTTAATACAGCAACATAGAGCAGGGATGTGCAAGTGTCTCTGTAGTAGGATGTTGAGTCCTTTGGACTTTGTTGTATATTTATTCCCGGGTTCATGAGGAACTGCCATACTTGATTTCCAAAGTGGCTGTACAAGTTTGTATGCATATTAGCAAGGGATAAATATTCCCTTTACTTCACTTCCTCACCAGCATGAACTACAATTTACTTTGTTGATTTTGGACACTGTGGCATGAGCTATCATTTGTTTGATTGAGCTTTGCCACCTTCAGTGGGTTCTGTATATTTGGATATTTTGTGTTTTTATCTTAACACAATTCTACAGAGTCTTTAATTTCCTTCTTAATTTCTGTCTTGAGCAATTTTTCATTCAGTAGTGTTCAGTTTTTATGAGTTGGGAAGCTTTATGTGGTTTTTGTTGCTGCTGATAGAATACAAGTTGTTACATCAATTTTCTTGTATCTGTTGAAGCTTGCTTTGTGCCTGAGCATGGGTCAGTTTAGGAAAGACTTCCTAATGAGAACTATTGAGAAGGAAATATATTTCTTGTGTTCATGTGTTCTGTAAAGATCTATTAGGCCCTTTTGGCTTATGATATCAGTTAGCTCTTTTTTGTATGCATGACCTGTCTAATGGCATGAGTAACATACAGAATTCACCATCACTGTGAATAGAGTAAGTAATATGATATGTAGTGTTTCTTTATGAACTTGGGTACCCTTATGTTTGGTGCATAAAAGTTTAGAATTATACTATACTCAGGATAGATTTTTTTCCTTTGATAATTCTGTATTGTCTTTTCCTGACTCTTTTGATTAGTTTTAATTTGAAGTCTATTTTGTCTGATCTAGTTGTTTGCAATAACATTTTCCATACTGAGATTATGTCTGTTCTTGATGTTAAAGTGTGTTTCTTGGGTACAGGGAAGATAGATCCTATCTTTGCATCCTGTTAGTCTGTCTTTTTATTGGGTAATTGAGAACACCAAACTTGAGCACTATCAATGAACAGCTATTTTTTTTTTTTGATCCCTGTTATGTTGTTGATCCCTGTTATGTTTGATTTGTTGATTTGAGATGATTTTTGTTTTCTTAGATGAGGTTAACCTCCTAACATTGATGTTTTCATTCTAGAGCCTCTATTTAACCAGATTTGTATATGGTGCTTACATTTTGGTTTAGCACAAAATGTCTTTTTCTGTCAATTGTGACTGAAAGTTGTGCTGGATCTAGTAGTCTGGGTTACCTGGTAGGGAATACTTCTCTGTCCCTGTCAGTTGTGGCCATCGGATACCTCAGGTTGGTTAGAAAGTATTTCTAGGTATTAGAGTTGATAGGAAGAAATGGGGATGAGCTTGAAGTGGGCTCTGAAATGATCCAAAGGGAGGAGGAAAGCTGATTCTGTCTTAGAAATAAAGCAGAATCCACAGGTAATTCAGGCAGAGAAAAAAAGAGAGATTTCTGCAAATGATCAGCTATGGGGCTGACAATAAGACTGGGGAATTGGGAATAGAGGACAGGAAGGAGAGTGGAGATCACCTATCTGACTCCCATGCCTGCTGGTCAGTGGGATGCCAGGTAGATATTGCCACTGGGTACTGGAGGCTGGCAAAAACGAATGCTGTGAGGAGGAATGGTGGCTCCATATAAGGTTCTGGTGAATCCGCAGGGAATGGAGGCAGAAAGGGAACTCATTTTAAGCTTTTTAAATGCCAAGGACTAATCACCTTCCTAACAACATTATAACATTCTTTAAAAGTGCAACTATAATTTCCTCTAAAGAGTACCAGCATAAAACTTGAGCATTAAATATTGCCCTTACAATCACTACTGATATAAAGAATATTACCAAAAAAGGGTTCCAAGGTAAAATAGAATGTTTGCTATATAAGAAAATACTATGCAGTTATGAGATGTTTTCCCGCCAGCCTGGTCCCAAAGCCACATCAGCCCCCAAATAACACACAGAGACACTGTATTAGATATAAAGCAGTTGGTCTGTTACTAGTGTTTTTTATTGGCTTGCTCTGTCTTAAATATCAATCAATTTTTATTAATCTAAGTGTCTCCACAAGATCTTATCTAACTGGGGAGTGGGTCAAGACTCTCTCTACCAAGCCCCTACATCTTGATTCTTCCTACATCTCCCAGAATCCTCCTTGCCTCGTACTCCCGCCTATCTTGCCTTCCTATTTACCAACAGTGCTTTATTCATTAACCAATAAGAGAAACATATTTACAGAATGACATCTCACATCTCACATCACTATTCTGTTCATGAAATTATTGTTACAAACTTCTTATAGTCATTATTAAAAATATTTTGCTTCTTCTCAAACTGTAGAAGTAACTTCCAGAATTTTATAGAGGATTGATAACTAAGTATGTTTTCTAGAAATTAATGTTTTAAGAGGTGTGTCTTTATAGCTGGAAAGATTTGGTTTCAGCAAATATTGATCTTTTCATATAATTTTAAAAGTGTAAAACTTGCTGAGTAACATTTAGAATATTATTAGTCTGTGAATTAGCTGAAGGAGAAAAGACAGACTGTTTAAGCAGTGTTACAGCTAAAGGTAAATGTCATTGGGAGCTAAGTCAATTGCAGTTGCTACTAGAGTTTCCACTATTTTTTATAACTCCCCTCCATCCCTTTGGCACAGCATCTTATATATGGGAATTTAATAAAAGTTAATGGATAATGCACACATTTATGAGATCAAGCTAAACATTGATGCAGCAAAGTTTTAAAGTTTGTATTGGAATTTTACATGGTTTACAGCTTACCTGTATCATATTGGATGGTTTTTAATAACTTTGTACCATAAATCCATTTTCAAGGTAGATGTCTCATCACACTTTATCAGTATCCATTATCAAAATATTTCTCTGCCATTTTGAACATTTTGTCTATTTTGATTTAATAAGAATATCTGAACTAAAATACAGAATACTGAAATAAACATTATTCTCTTTTATTTTTTTCTGTTTTAACTATTTTCTTTAAAGAGGGGACATCAGAAGTCACAGACTCAGGTAAATATTTTAATCTCTGAAATGAATTGATATTGAATTGTAGAAAGCAGTTGAAACCTGGGGCTTTCTTTAACTGTGTAGCATAAACAGACATAAAATCACCCAAATGCTCAGGTTCTGTGTTCTCATCTGCAGACAAAGACAGACTTCCCAAACCCAATTGTAAGAACAAATGAAAAACATACTTCACACTTCCACCATATATTTAATTTTCTCTCATTATTTCTCACTCTTGCCTAAAATAACACTAAAGAAAACCATAAGTCAGTCAATACTGTTAATTGCTAATCTAGTTCCACAGTGTATTTAGCCATCCCAAGTGATTTTTTCATTGGTTACTTTCATTAGTATGAGAAATGGCTACACAATGTCAAATCTAAGTTATCTACAGAGACCATGAAAATTTAGTTTGTTTTTTCTGTTTTTATTTTGAATATCTCTTTTTAATGTCATAGCCTTTCCTTCAAAATACATACTAAAAAACAAAAGGGCATTTTATATATGGGTAGCTGAATATAAGTAGCCCATTCTATGTCCTTACTCATCTTGAAATGGCACATCCCTGATCACCCATCCCTTCTCATGGGATCAAGTGTCATCATCAGTTGTCATAGAATGAATGAAAATGTATGCTTCATAAGCTGATTATTATATGTTATTTTTTTTTCTTCCTAGGGAAAAAGAAAATTGAAAAATCTGAAAAGGAAAGTAAAGGTAAACAGGAAATTTATATGTGAATGACTCAAAAACTAAAAGTAATTTATGAAAATGCTGGCCTGATGTTATTGAATATATCAGAAATTTAGTTCAACATTCAAAAGGTATAGGTTTATAAGGATATTAATCATCAAAGTAATAGAAATTTAGATCCTGAAGCAAATTCTACCTACTATTGATAAATGAACTCCATACATTTGATTTTTGAATTGTGGATATTGATGACTCCAAATTCCCTACTAAACTTCAAGAAGTATGTGTAAAAGATTTATTTAAGATATTCATTTTTTAACTGAAGAACACTAAAAATAAATATATATGATCAAGAACAGATTGAGTAAAATTTTATTTATATTATCTTTAAGTAAAATTTAATATGTTTACTTTAAAAGTATTGTTTTAACTTAAATAAAACATTGGTGAATATGTGTTGGTGTCTTTGTCAAAAGATTAATGAATGAGAGATAAATTGTTGAAATTAAGCATTTGTTTATTTTCTCACTGGTAGACAATCTGGAAATACTATGACAGTTTTCTTTTCCCCTTAAAATTAGGTTTACATTAGTAAGATATCTAATATCATACAGTCAGGGTTGGTTTTACTATAATCACTTGGAAAACTTACAGAGTTTTAATTATCTAAGAAATGCATATCAGACCAAGATGAAAACATGATTGCCAATAATAAAAATGACAAGTTCGTTTTATTCAAATTCGAGTGCTCAGTGGACCTGTTTTCCACAAATACTAATCCTCTATATCACTGCATTGCTACTGTATCTCTCACTGTAACAGAGAATTATCATCTTGTTACTACTTATTCTCATTAGATAGTAGTTCAATGTGAAACAAATTGCTGAAAATTCCTTGAGAAACTAGTCATAACACTGAAGTTATTCTACTCTCATAAATTTAATATTTAAAATAAGGCAAATATTTAATGCAATGTTACTTTAAAGCTTCATATTTTAATATACATTTTTAACAAACAGTTCCCACAAGACAAGAAAATCTTCAGATGCACAATGTGACTAAAGGTAAACTTGAACTTTATGAATATTCATGTTCATTGTTGCTATGGAAATTCATATAGTACTCGACAGTATTTTTATTAACAATAATGCTTTTAAGAAGTTTGGAGATATGCCTTTCTACTAATACATGAGAGAGAGAACAAACAGAAAATATAACAGAAAGATAATATTTCAGCAGAAAGTTAGGAAATACGAAGAGATATTATCAGTGCATATATTCAGTGAAATATTTTATTCATGCTAGAGGAAAAAGCTTCTCTATTACAAAAAAAACTTTAGCTGCATGAATAATATCAATGTTTATATATACTTATACTAGTTTAAAACAACTTCAACTGAGATGCATTTTATTGTGGCTAAAGAAAATTAGCATCTTGCATGTATTTTACTTATAAATTGACTTTTTCAACCAATTTAAGCTAGCAATAAACTGGAAAATGCCAGCATAAAAATGGTAGATTGTTTCTCTTTAAAATAAAGTTATGTGTTTGGATGATACTATCACAAAACAACAAATAAACCTTATTAATTAATTATGTAATAGAGGTGATATAATTTTAGGCCATCCTAGTCAAGAACAATTGAAAAGCACAACCAAAGCCATTCTTTTTCCCTGGAATAAGTGAAGAGGAAGGTGAGCCCTGGTTTCCATCAGGTCTCTTTGTTGCTTTTTGTAGCATGTATATTCAAAAGGCAGGAGGGATGCTCCCTTAACCTAGAGACAGGAGAGAAGTCCTATTTCCTACTTCAAATGACTTGACAGATTTACATGAACCCTCCTGGATGGCATTGCCCAACATGTGGAATTAGGGTGGGGGAGTGGGAGGGGAGGGTGGTCATGGTGCATGCAAGGGGGGAGAAAGGGTAAGAGAAAGGGAGGGGTGGAGGGAGAGAGGGAGGGAGGGAAGGGAGGACAGGCAACTGGCAAAAAAAGAAAAAACAAAAACAAAAACAAAACAAAAGGCAGGATGTCCCGAAGCACATTTTGCCTTGTAGGTATGCATAATTGAGACAGTACCATCGCATTCAGTGGAGAAGAAGTGCTAATTCTCAAAGCACAGCTCCAAGTAACCATGAGGAGGAAGCATTACTTGTTCATTTAAGAGATAGCTCATTGTATCTTAGTTTCCACTTGGTTCCTTTGTAGGTTCTATCTCCTTAATCACATCAGATTTGTAAAGGAGAATTATTAGTGAAGATTTTTAAGTTGTCTAGGTTTGAGATTTTCTGTTTAAGGCATGCAGCTACAGTAAACTCAAAAACACAATCTCCCAATTTAAACTATTTTCTTTAAAAAAATTTGTATTCCTGTTTATTCACAATTCTTAATTCTATAGTAACAACTGTATAGATATCAAATATAAATGTAATGCAGATTCCTTTAAATTGTATTTTCAAGTCTAAGCATTTAAATTCAATAAATGGTGGTAGAAAAAAAGATATAACCCATCTCCTTTCCCAACAAAGTAGCCTATCTTCTGGCATTTTAAATAATCACATCACTGTGTATTTCATGCTATAAACATACAGTTAATGAGATGCACTACTTCAAATAATCATCACTCACTGAAAACTAAAAGGAAAAATATCCAATTTGTATGATGCATTTACAGAGTCATTAGTCTCTTAATGTAATTGGCAGTTACTTGCCTTTCTTCATCTTTGAAGGGGAAGCAACTCTCAATGTGGTTTAGAAATTGTAAAGTGTGTACATAAACTACATCATGAAAAATAATTTTATTCTAGTTATCTATAATTACAGTTGAACCAAAATAATTTTTTTTAAAAAAGGTCCTGCTGATTTTAGTAAGAGTATTTAAGAAAATTAAATTCTTTGACAACTGAGAAGAAGAATGGCTCTTTTGATACTAGCATATCCTCATCTATAGTAGAGACTGCACTATTCAAAGAAACGTTTCACAGGCAATGGAAAGCTGTATTTGTTCACTTACTCTTAATCAGTAGGGAAGAGACTCAAAGCTATTAGATATATTTATATGGTCCATTGATACAGGCTACAAATCCCTTGCTTCATTATTTTAATAAAACAAAACATATATTCTCTTTTCAGCAGAAAAACCTTCAAAAATACCAAGTAAGTACTGTTAGTGTTGGCGATAAATTCTTTTTGGTACACATATGTGGCTGTAGTGTAGTTAGGATAAAACATCCGAAGAAGGAAATGTTTGTGAGGTTTGAGTCTGTGGTTAGCACTCTATCTTTTCGAGCATGAGATGAGGTGGGTATCATAGTAGTGGAAACAAGTGATTGAAGAGGTGACTTCAGAGAAATGTGGAGGGAGGACAATAGACAAGGTGTAGACGAGGTATATTGCTCAAGGTCACAACCTCAGTAAAATAATTCCTCCAGTTCAGTCCTGAATTGGAATAATCCAGTTGACTACACATTCATCTGCTGGAAGCTACAGAAGTCCTGGATGAATGTCAGTCATGGGAATGTTGACAGTCTGTGCAGGATATTCCCACCAGAGCTGTGTCCTGCATCCTGGAAAGTTTTCAGCCTGAAGAATGTTCCTCTTCAGAGATCACTCCTACTGAGATTAGCCAAGCCTGCCTCCCTGTTAAGCTAACATAATACTCTGTCTCCTTGTCTGTGTGCAATCACCCTGCCTCCTTTTTCAATTGAATATAATACACACATTGACTTTTCTGGGCATCCTAAATATATATGAATCTACAAATTTTTTAAAATTAATCAAAATAATCATATTTATTCTTTCCCATGGTTCCATATTTAAGAAAAAAATCATTGAAAATTAGGATTATCATAAAATAAGTACAGTGAAGCTATACATGTAATTTTTATTTTGATAGATAACAATGATTTTAAAATGTAAGTGAAAATATTTTAATATTATAATTGATCTGATACATGTATATCATTTAAAAATATATAGTAAGCATACAGGTTCACATCCTTTTAATTGCAATTTTTAAAGTTGTCTGTGTATTTTATACTTATAACACATTTAAGTTTGTAATACCCATGTTTCAATTCCTCAAACACTGTAGTTAATGGCTGTCACAAGGACTAAGCACCTCTAAATATTTATTGATTATTTATCCATTAGCTCAGTGCAGAAGAGAACATTAAAAAATAATTAAGAAATATAACTTGCCAAGTTTGTCATTCAAAAGTTCTTTGATTGAAAGTAATAAACCTCATGTCGTCTCCGGTAATTTAAAAAAGGAGAATTACTATAAGTCTAATGAACTATCTCATGGATGTAAGGACACGATTTATAGCTGAGTCTCAAGGAGAGCCCTGGAAAGCTGTACTATCCATTCTCTATAGCCCCCAAAGCTAAGGATCACAAGAGCAGGCTCCATGGAGAAAGTAGTACCATTAGGGATGGTTAGGATGTGAACGACTGGAGAAAATGATAAGAGTGGGAGATTAATATAATTGAGAACACTAACTGTAGCTTGTAAATAACAATAACTCCTGTTTCCCTCAACCTATTTGACATTATTTAAGATGTTGAATGTTGTTTTAAGTGTGATGATTTATATTTGTCATCATTTACTTTTCTCTTGCTAATGGAGGTTTATGAAATAGTCGTTCTTATCTGCTGGCTGGACTGGGTCCTCTAACTAAATTAACAGATTAGGTAATTACTTTTCTGTAGTGTTTCAATGGGTATGGTGACTGTCCATGGTGCTGTAGAAAAGGGAAGAAATACTGTCAGATAAGAAAAGCCTAGTTTGAGAACAAAAAGTGTTGTTGTGCTCAATCAGGGTGGATGCCTGAAGACATCCCAGTGACCTGTCTTCTCACACATCAGGGCTTCCACAATACAAGTAACACTGCAGAATGGAATGTTCCATGCTTCAAACAGGACTATGAATTAAACAGTATCTGTTATGTGGTTTAGTATTTTGTTAAGGATTTAAACTTAAGATTTTTCTTATATAAATACAGTAGGTAAGTAATTTGCTTCCATATTAGAGTAGGATGGATCACTTAGGTGTCAGTTGTTCCAAGTTATCTTAGAAATTATCATGAAGTGTTAAGTGAGATATGGATTCCATTTTTCAAATAATAATTTTACTATTACTGACTCAGTCAATAGGTAATTGAGTCACATACAGAAAAAAAAACACCTAATTTTCTTAAGTTCTTAAGCACAGAAAACACACCTTTAGCCCTATTTCTTTATGAAATGAATTTATGAACTCTGAAGTGATAAAAATCTATCTTAAAATATGCTTAAGAGTTCATTCACTTCTAAAATTAATTAATGTTAGAAGAGGTTAAGTTGCTGAGAAAATTACCTTGCAATTAATTAATAAAAAATATCAGCCTTTTAACTTTTAAAGAAGTGAATTAGTCTTACCACTGTATAATACATTCCAGTCACATTTCTTGTGCTCAAAAAAAAAAAAAATGTAATGGTTTTATTAATTAAGATGTAGTTGTAGTGCAAGTCTTGGTGTACTGTTTACTTAACTCTACTGAATAGGATTTGTGAAATTCTTGCCAATGTAAGCTTTATTCATTTACTTAAAATGTGGCCAAAGTCCAAACAAGGTATAAATGGCGTTGTATAAACTAAGTGGCTATTAAATCTCCCTACTCTGGTTTGTTAAAAGTGCTGGGGAGGCAGGAATGAGTCATCCCGGTGCTGTCAGTGTAAGATTTAAAGTATGGCTGACTTTCTGTCATTTCAGTCAGTGATATCAGGGCTTGTTTAAATCAAAAGGAAAAGCAGGTCCTTCTCATTCATAAAATAATCCCTCATAACATCAATATGCCGGAAAGTAATATGCAAATAAAGATTTAAGAGATATCACTGTTCTCTGTTTTTGCTGTATATTTTAGCTCTTTATCAAGAGGGGGGAAAACCCTCCAATATATTCCTCCTTGGATTTTTTTCAATCATGAAGTGATGGTATTGGACTTTGGCAAATAACTGTCTACTGGCCTAGCAATGGTATAATGCGGTAATTGAGTTTTTGATGCTAAATCAAACTTGCATTCTAGAATATATCTTGCTTGGTTGGTGTATAGATTTTGTATATAGATGGTTTTATGTTGAGAGTGAGAGTTTTTACATCTCAGTTTATGAGAGGATAGTAGTCCATAGTTATTTTTTTAAGGTGTGTTGGTCTGGGATTGATTTCAGAGTGAGACTGCCTCATAGAATGGGTGAATTATATATGTTCTCCTTTTATGTTTTTGGAAGACTAAACAAAGGATTATTTAAAGTGTTCTGTAGACTTAACCAGTGGTGTTATCTAGAACATGGGTTTAGTTTGAAAGCATTCTGTTTGTTGTTCAGATATTGTCAATACAATCATTTTATTTATTAAGAATCTGTTCAGTCTATTCTTTAATCAGTTTCAATCACTTGGGAGATAGAAGCAGGTGGAAATCTGAGTTGGAGGCAAGTATGATCTACAGAGAAAGCTCTGGGACTGAGAGGACTACATAGAGAATCTGTGCCTCATAAAAACAAAACAAAATAAAAAAGCAGAAAAAATAATTACATTTTATCTGATTTATCAAGTATAAATTTTTACATTAATTGGTATTCTTTGTATTGCTATTGAGTAGTATTATTCATCTTGTTCTTATTACTGATTATAATGATTTGATTTTTATGTCTTCTTGACCAAGCTTGCAAACATATATAAATAATTAGAGTGGTTCTGTTTCAGACACTAGTTCAGTATGTAAAATATAACATGTATAAAATAGCACACAATGCATTTCCTGCCACCAGCACTGTGCTGTCGAATTTTCTACATTCCATGAATTTTGTCAGGGACAAGGACTAATAGAACATCATTTTGGGGCTCCCTGGCTTATTATTCTCATTTCATGTTATAAATTGTCCTTCTAATTTTGCATGTGTTTGTGAGCATGGGAAATATGCCACAGGTTAGAGATTGCATTCAGAGATTCCTGCTTAACTTTATGCTTCTTAGGTTCCCATGTGTTTTTGAATAGTCATTATTCACACTTTCACAGAGTTATTCTAATTTAAAAGAAGTTCTAACTTAAATATGCTGTCTTCAAAATAAAAGTCTTCTGTAATTTCAAATCTTACTTTTTTCCTTTTTAAATGTGTTTGTATCATCTACTACTATGGAAGAGGTCTCCTTTACTTCTTTTATTTACAAAGTTATCTTTGAAATTTTAGTTTGTACAATTAAGTCATTATACATTTACTAACAATCTCTTTAAAAATACAAGTCCAATTGCATCTAGTCATTTATATGATAATCGAGTTCTCTAGTTGTAGTCCTTTAAAAAAAACCTAACATATTGACTTTATCTGTATTCTTTGTGAGTCAAGGTATGTCTCTACTTATGCCAGTTTAACTGCTTTCTATGTTTTAATGTGCGTACTTCCAGTGGCATCTTCTTTAGAATTGCCTTCAGTAAAGTCATTGAGGAGCACACTTCATTCATTAATAGCAATCATTCTCTATTATCCTAAAATTAGCCTTTTATTATCATTAGGGTAGTGGGGATGAGATGGTGAAAGAGACAAGGTCTTGCTGTTACTTAGGGATCATCTTCCACTTGGCAAGCCCTTTTTACCAGCTTTCCAAAGTGATGATTGTGGATGAATTCTACTATTCGCAGCCTGAAAGCCTGTTGTCCTTGAGCACAGAGCAACATAGGTTGGGTCTCTCCTTGCAAGTTGAGAGAAGCTTTCAGTCTATTACTCCATTGCATTTCTATTCCACTGTTAGGGTAGGAGAATTCTGTGGCCAATTTGAGTGTTCTTTCTTTCTGTTAGGCTATCATTTCTTTCTGCCTTTGCTCTCTGACACGTTCACTACATTTCTCTGGGAAAGGTAAATGACTAAATATAGGAGATTCATGTTTACATACAGAAAAATAATTTGTAATTTCCACTAGTATATGATTCAGAGCTGGGAAGAAACTTGTTATAATCCTCAATGTGCAGAAAATGTCGTCTAATCTCCAACACCACTTAAACATTTATGGTGGTTTACTTAGGAGATAGAGGTAAGAGAATTAGAAGTTCAAGATCATCCTCACCTATATAATAATTTCAAAACCAATTTCTCATAAAAATACATGAATATATGAGACTGT